GCTTCTGTTTTTACTGGAAGCACACAAACACCACGAGGCAGCGGGGACTCTCTCCGTTTTGAAAGCAGATGATTAACTTTTAGTCTGGCTCAAACAATTCCAAGATGGCTGCCGCAGAAGAGCACTGTTTTGTGGTCTGAGTGAATGGACTCCTATCCATATTATTGTCAGGAGCAAGATCTGTTGAATAAGAGGCCACAGGAAACTCTATGTGACGTGGATGATGTTGGATGGACTAACTGAGGCCTAAATCTACCTGGAAGTCACCTGCCTTGTCTAAGGTTTGGACTTGAGAAATACCTACTATGAATTTCTGCAATGAAAGACACATAATTTTCCACTCTACTTGAAGTCATGATCAAGATCTGTTGGGGGAGCAGAATCCACAGGGAATTGTATTTTACTAGGATGGTGTTGGCTTAAGCTACCTGAGGCCTACACTCTAGCTACTTGGAAGCCTCCTGCTCTGTAAACGGTTTGAAACCTGGCTCTTCGGACCTATTAATGCAGCTAAGGCAAGATTGTCTAGTACTCTGCGTAGCAGTTACTTGCTCTGTGGGGAAATATTGGAGTAAATGGAAATATCCTCACTTTGGATTGGGGGTTTGGATCTCATATGTTACTGCTACCTTGAGCACTGCGACTGTGGAAACATGTGGAACTTACATCAAATGAGTTCCCTTGTCTTGTTCCTATGCTTTACATCTATGGCTGGAGACTGCAACTCGCACTTGTTTGATGAAGTACCAGGATCAGAGTTGACCTTACCATGACTATTCCTTGAACACGAGTCTGCAGCTTTTGACTGTGTCAGCAGTTTTCTTCTTATGTGGTAAAGGGACTCGTGCAAATTCTTCAGCTACATCCCCAAATAACCAGAGACACATCGAAATGGCTGCTGGATGTTAATGGCTCCATCTACTGTTCCTGCCTTCATGTATTAAGAGAACATTTTACCAAACATGAAAACCTGATCACATGTCCCTGCAACTTGCAAACTGTGTTAGAAGAACATAATAACATAAAATCTAAGTTTTTGATCATATGTTTACTCTTGCTTTCTGGAGATGTTGAATTAAACCCAAGACCAGAAAATAACTGTCTGACCCCAGCAGATCTTTACTCCAGATCTGGTCTTGGTATTATTCACGTTACTCGTCGTTAGGGGCGACGGTGGCACAGGAGTTAAGTGCTCGCCTTGCAATCGGAAGGTTGCAGGTTCGAGCCCCGCTCAGTCTGTCGCTGTGTCCTTGGGCAAGACACTTAACCCACGTTGCCTGCTGGTGGTGGTCGGAGGGACCGGTGGCGCCAGTGCTCGGCAGCCTCGCCTCTGTCAGTGCGCCGCAGGGCAGCTGTGGCTACATTGTAGCTCATCCCCACCAGTGTGTGAATGTGTGTGTGAATGGGTGAATGACTGATTGTGTTGTAAAGCACCTTGGGGGGTTCCAGGACTCTAGAAGGTGCTAGATCAAATACAGACCATTCACCATCTAATGTGAGAAGTCTTCTCCCTAAATTAGACATGCTCTCAATATGGATAAACTCAACAAATGCAGACATCTTAGTCGTATCAGAATCATGGCTAATAATCTATCGAAGACAATGACATCAACATTGATGGCTATAATGCTGTTTGTGTGGATCGAGAGAAAACATGTGGAGGGGTGGCAATGTATGTCGAGCACTGTTTTACAGCTGATGTAATTTTATCAAAATCTGTGAGCAAAGAACTGGAAATTCTAGCCGTTGATGTTGAAATATCTGAAGATCAGCACGTCATGGTGGTGGGATGTTATAGCTTCTAATAATTCATTGTCTATATTGATACACTTTTTGTCTCAGTTAAAATACAATGAAATACTGATTGTTGGTGACTTAAATTATGATTGGCTCACATCTGCTTCTGATGCACTGAAAAATCTGTCATCTTTTAAATCTTACTCAGCTGATTGACTCTCCCATGAGAATCAACTCAAAACCTGTTGAAAATCAACGCTCATTGATCTAGCATTAACAAATATGCCATTTAAATTTGTAACGACTGGCTTTTTTCCAAATGATGTGAGTGATCGTTGTGCTATAGCAGTTGTACGGGATACAAAAGTTCCTAAAAGCAAACCACGCATGGTAACCAAACGCAATATGAAGATATTTTCTGAGCAAGCTTTTTCATATGATCTTTACTGTTTCCTTTGGGATACAATAGCTTTTTTTGATGATGTGGAACTAGCTTGGAATTATTTTCTCCAAAGCTTTACTAATATTATCAATAAAAATGCCCCCTTCAGAAAATATAGAGTTAAGGGTCGTGAAAATCCCTGGTTTGCAAATGAATTATCAGAGTTGCTTCATGAACGAAACGTGGTATGGGACAGGGCGCGAACGTGTAAATGCCCTAAGGACTGGCTTCTTTTTAAGCAATTAAGAAATAAATGTACTTTACTCTTACGAAAGACAAAATCGAATTTCTATCTGAACAAATTAACTGAAAATCTAACTAATCCTAAAAAGTTTTGGAAAGAAATCAAAGCACTATCCTCATCAGAGAACTGTACTCGATTACCTTCAAATATTCATGTGGAAGGGAAAAATATTAGTGATTAAAACGGAAATGCTAAATTTGTTTAATACACATTTTGTGACATCAGGCTCATCAGGTCATCCACCAGACCGTCAACCTCAACAATCTAGCATTGTCAGAAACAATATTGATGTTTTCAACTTTAAACCATTTACAACATTTGAGGTAAAGAAAGCCCTGAAACAACCCAAATCTTGGAAACCAGCCGGTCCGGATGGACTAGAACCATTCTTCCTCAAGCTTGCATCTGAGTACATTGCAGAACCCATGTGTTGCATTTTTAATCTTACTTTGAAAACAAATAAAATACCTAAAGATTGGAAATCTGCATTTGTGCTGCCACTTTTTAAAGGTGGAGACCCAAGTAACTTAAATAATTATAGGCCTATTTCAAAGCTCTCTGTAGTGGCTAAGGTACTTGAATCCTTGGCCAATGATCAAGTAAAGATTTTCCTTACATCATACTATACTATCTCATGCCTAGTCCACACGTAGCCGGGTTTTTTGAAAACGAATATCCGCCCCTCCAAAAACTTGCATCCACACCACCGCGTTTTAAAAACAAACTCTGTCCACACGTACCCGGATAAATACGTTGTTATGGACATGCCAGACCTGTAGGCGGCAGTACTTCCCCTGTTCTTAACCTCGTCCTTCGTCTGTGGTCTTCTGCAAGGAGCAGTAATTCCGCTTGCAAAAACAAACAAGCAGAAAGCGCTTGGACAATTGATGGATCGGGTAGTGACAGAGTGCAGCTCTGAGGGCTTCAGATGTCTGCTAGTGTAAACACAGGTCGCACACGTGATGTCAGCATTTTTTGTCACGGAAAGTGACGTTGCGGACCTTAAAACTCCGGTTGTGTCCGTCCACACGCAGACACCCAAAACGGAGAAAACGCAGATCTTCACTTTGGCCGGAGTTTTTAAAAAGATTCGTTTTCGTGTGTAAAAACTCCGTTTTCGTGTGGATGACAGGCCAAAACGTAGAAAAATATGTACGCTTTGGCAGATCCCCGGCTACGTGTGGACAGGGCCTCATTCAGGGTTCAGAAGGAAACATAGTACCACTACAGCAACATGAAAGTTTTGAATGATATTACTGAAGCTCTTGACAATAAGCAATGCTGTCTTGCACTTTTTATTGATTTTACAAAAGCATTTGATACTGTTGACTATTCAATCTTGATTGATCGACTTGAAGAAATTGGCTTTTCTAACCAGGCTGTAGGATGGTTCAAAAATTACTCATCAAACAGTACCCAAGTTGTACAGCTAGATGGTGCTGTTTCTGAGGAACTTCAGCTATATAAGGGAGTCCCACAGGGATCAATTCTTGGTCCATTACTTTTCACCCTCTACATAAATAACATTGGTCTAAGTATTCATAATGTTAAATTACATCTTTATGCAGATGATACAGTTATTTATTGTTCTGCCCCAAACTCTACAAAGGCATTTCAGGATCTTCAATCAGCATTTGATCAGGTGCAAGAACAATTGTGCCATTTGTGGTTTGTACTAAATTCTGATAAAACTAAACTCATGTTTTTCTCTCAGTCAAAAAGAAAAACAGAGAATAGGTCAATTTCTACTGGTCTGGGTCATCAGATTGAACTAGTTTCTAGTTTTAAATATCTGGGTTTCTTAATTGATAAGTTATCTTTTAAGCTTCATATCCAGCATTTAACAAAAAAGTAGAGATTTTTATTAGGATTTGATTACAGAAATAAATCTTGCTTTTCTTTTACGGTAAAAAAGAGGTTAGTAGAATCAACATTTATGTCTGTAATAGACTGTGGAGACATCTTGTACATGAATGCCCCGTGCACTGTTTGAGCAGTGTGTATCATAGTGCCTTGCACTTTATAACAAACTGTTGGCTTCTTACCCATCATTGTTTGTTATATTCAAAAGTGAATTGGTCTTCATTGCGGGTATGTCGACTGATGCATTGGTATGCTTTTATTTATAAAGCTGTATGTGAATATTTGCCTTTTTATTCATCATGTCTTTTATCAAGAAAGCAGAATCAGTTCAGCCTCCGCTCAAGTGAACTTTTGCAGTTTGTTGTTCCCAAGGTTCGCACAGAGCTGGGAAAGACGGCTTTTAGCTTTGCTGCTCCATCGACGTGGAGTTCCCTACAGAACGATCTAAAAATCAAGGATTTGGTTTCCTTGAGTAGATTTAAGACTCTGATTAGGTCACTGGAATCCAGACTATCAGTGTGTTCATGTTTTAATTGAGTTGATGTGGAAATGTATTTAAATGTGAATGCATTAATGTTGTAACTCATGCTGCTGCTCTGTCTGTCTTGACCAGGTCTCCCTTGTAAAAGAGATCTTGTATCTCAGTGGGACCAACCTGGTCAAATAAAGGCAAATTAAAAAAAATAAAATAAAATCACTACGCTGACCCCTTACCTAGCAGCTGCACCCCGCGGGTCAGACCGTAGACATCGATGAGGGCCCAGAGGGGCTCGGAGGTCCGCACCCCGCTGAAGAACAGCATTGGACTGGACTCGTTGATCCGGTAGAAGACTCGGCCTTTCTTGTCCACCCAGAAGGCGAGAACGTTTCCCTCGTTGGCAAACTCCTCTGGCAGCGCCTTGGCCCAGAAGCCACTCTGCGACACCAGGTCAGGGCAGGCGTACTTGGGCAGGTTCTCTGGATTCATCCTGGAGGGGTCTCTGGAGGTGAAGCCCAGACGCAGAGCTCCACTCCAGCAGCACTGCTTTTTAGTGATCTGACAGGAGGAGAACCACAAGAAGAGACATGAGCTTTTAACCTGGATGAGAAGGAGATGAAGTCTGGTGAGTAAACTACCTTGAGGCGGATTTGCTCATAGAGCGAGATGGGCCGGTTGCTGAAGGTGATGGCGTTGCAGAAACTGGCCTGCCTCTTGACCGTCTTCTGGGCGAGGTCCATCACTATCTGGGACCCTTTGGCATTTGGGTGGAAAAGCAGAGGGCTGACGGGAAGAGACCCACCGATGCCGCCACACTGGATGGGCAGACACCTTTTGGGTTTGTGGTGACATCGGTGCGACGTAGTCGGGAACGGGCCGCCAAAGGAGTCTGCAGAGAAGGAATTCAGAACAGACATGAGTTTCACCTGGGAGGGAATGATGAAGTCGGGTTTAGCTCCAGCAGAATACAACTAAAGTCAGGATTTTAAAGGAACCTGAGCCAATCACATCCTGTTCTGTAAAGACTGAATGGAAGTTAAAAACTCTTCACAGGTTTGCAACAGATTAAATAAACTCCTCAGATTAGCACCCAAGGATATGTCATGAGCATGTTCTTTAGCCAGATTACCAGAGATTAGAACCGGTTTATTAAATGAGCTGCAGCCGTCTCCGTCCATCACCACCGACTATATAAGGTTCTGGGTTGAAACGATGATGACATCAGCGCTCGAGGATGGAGCGCATGTCACAGGTTTCTAAAAGTGTTAATTTACAGATTACAGCAGCCAGATTGGTATTCTGCATCTGAACCCAGAGGAAGGTTTTAGCCTGGAGACAGAATCCTAACCTTACCCCTTCCTGGGATTTTAAATGTTTTCATCAGTCCGGTGAAGAGATGTGGGGAGATTTAAGGGCTGTCGTCACATCTACGCTCAGGTCAGGTGATCAGTACGTTTTTGTTTTTATTGGATCTAAATCTAAAACCTCTCTCAGCCTTCAGCCCGAGTCGGTCTTTCCTCTGATTGGTCCACCGGGGACGTCGGTGAAACCTGATGTTTTGGGAAGATCCAAATCTTTCCTCTCATTCGGGGATGTAAGGAAGTGTGTTTCCTCGCACAGTGAAGTTGTTACTTTGCTGTTGACACGAGAAACCAAGAAAAAACCCAAAAGTACCAGAAATGCAGGACAAAGGGAGCAAAAAGACACAAAACATAAATTATAAAGAAGTTTAAACTATGCAGGAAGCTTAGAAGAGAGATTCAATCCTCCTATTGGTCTGTTCCATCTGCACCAGCGTTCCTACAAAAACATCCCATAATAGAAACAGTTACAGCAAACTACGGCTGGTGTTTCTAGTGCCGTTGGCTGTCATGGTTACAGGAGGCCCATGCGATTCTAGCAGATGAAGCTAACGCAGCAGCAGGTGTCCTGCAGAGACCCGATGACGGTCCCGGTCCACAGCCTGCTTTGTGTCCCGCTCGGTCTTTGTGTGTCTGTAACGGCCCTTCCCGTTCTACACCCCAAAGCGTGTCTCCAGTCCAAACTGGCTCAGGAATAAGAACACCACTGAGGCCTTTTGTCTTTGGCAGCGCCACAGAGGAGCAGCATGCGCGGGCTGAATGCAGCAGGCGCACGTGGTCGCGGGCAGATTGGCCTGAATGCATTAGCGGCTCTAAAGAGGTGCAGCTGCTGTGGTGTGAATTCACGTTCCTTAGCAACCCCTCACATCTGAAGGTCTCAATCAGCTCCGTCTGCAGCCATCATTGAGGACACAGAAGCCTTTTGTTTACTCACACAACTAAATTACATCTGTGGTCCCAGAACGTCCTCGTCTGCAGCTCGTGTTTGCTGTTGGGTCAGGTTACAGAGAAGAATCCGACGTAACTCCTTATCTGGGCCATTTTCAAGTGTCCTTCTGTCAGGGCCTTATCTACAGAGGCTGTGTCCAAATTCAGAGGCTGCATCCTTCAAAGGCCACGTCTGAAGGCCAATCACGGTGAAGCGACGAAGGCTGTCTAAATTCAGCGTCTCCTCAAAAACATGTCCCCCTTTTTACTGGATCCGACGACAGGTCTGCTGTATCCCATCGTATCCCAGGATGCACGGCCGGCTGAACAGGAAGTCTCTGCTCTAATGGCAGGTGAAGCGTTAGAGGATGCACGTTTAGTCATATCTGGTGTAATAACACTGAGCTTAAACGATTTGTTGTTTGCAAAGCTCTAATAATAAAAATCATCATTAACAAGCTCATATGAGGAGTCTGATAAGTTTAATTTTCACTTCCGTTTAATGTCGTCACAGTTGCTAGGCAACAGGACACTCAGCGATGTAAGGGTGGGAATAAATCTGTAGGCTAGACTGTACAAAATCACAGCCGACCACTTCCAGTCTCAGCAGTTTACATAGGACCCGACCTAGGTAGACCGGGTGGGATGGTCCTTCTAAGGCTGCTGTTGCAGAATTTGAACACAGCCGCTAAGGCCTGGAAACAGGAAGTGGTCCTCTGACCAGATTAACTCTAAAATCAAATTATAATCTTCATAATTACATGGATTTAGAGGATTATTCAAGTCGGCTCAGATGAAAGAGTGAATTAGGTGTAAAGATGTGGATATTTGGAGTTGTGAAAATCCCTGTTTCTTCTAAAGTCTACTTCCTGTGTCTATTTTTTATATTTGAGTTCATCTACGCTGCTTTTATACCAGTTGCTGAGATTATATGTGGGATTATATCAGATTATATTTTACACTTTGGTCCAAAAAAGTTGTTTTTAAATGTTTGACAGAAACAAACTGAGTTTATCGTCTTGTTTTCCAGACAGGATTGAATTTATGTGGCAACGTTACAACTTTTACCACCGAGAAACCAAAACCGCACGACTCAGGAGGTCAGAAGCAGCCGGAAAAATGTTGATTTAGTATCATTTAGGAAGTCATTTCAGGGAATTTCAAGCTAACAGCTGAAAAAATATATCTATAGAAAAAATACTCCACGCTTGGCACCTTTTGGGCTGAGTTCCCAGTTTTCTGTTCTGACCATTTTCTTCTAACCTTGGAGATCAAACCAGAATATGTGGTGTTTTAGCCTGAAGCAAGAAAATCTGACTGAAGATCTGAACTTCAAACAGATTAGAGCAAAAACTTTCTGTTCGTGGATGAAAAAACAATCTCCTTTCCGCTCAGCAGCTTCGGTTTCTGGTGCCTGTTGAGGCTTGAAAATTTCAAATGAACTAAAAAAGTCTCAAATTGAACTCCGGGTCTCCCATCGCACTCCAGACATGACCCTGTGGCATTCCTGGTTCCTGTTCCGTCTAAAAACCAGAGCTCTGCTGGTTTGATCAGATTAAAGGGGTCAGAGGACAGGTGTGCAGGTCAAGTCTCTCACCTGCTCTGGGTGTCTCACTGACTCAGTTTCCATGCAAACAGACAGGATGAAGTATTCCAAACTTCCCGAGTGTTTGGATGGAAAATCGCTTCCTGGTTCAGCTGAAACCTGTTTTACATCGAATTAAGTGTAGCAGCTGTTTCATCTGGAATCAGGTTAAAGGGACAATCTGACCTCTTTTGAAGGTTTCTTTTCCTGAACAGCCTCTGCTCAGAGAAACAGACTGTATGTCTTTGAACATCTTAGGTGTGTTCTTGCTGTGTCTTTGTAAATCAATGCTTTCGTTCTTTTTTAAACACAGAAACAGTTTTGTTTACCTGTTTGTAGCTACGGTTTCGCCGACAGCTGCCGGCTTCTTCAGGCTGACGCTGATGGTGGCGCGTCACTTCCTTCTCCGTTTATCTGCGGGCAGCAGCTACCGTAGCTACAAACAGGTAAACAAAACTGTTTCTGTGTTTAAAAAAGAACGAAAGCATAGACTGTATGTCTTTCAGGATGGATGAGCTAACAGCTAGTCTGAGTTTAGTTTCTTTCTGCGGTTATAAAGCCGCTCCAGAAACCTTTATGCATCCGCCAGTTTCACATAAAACTGTTATTTCCACAGAACTCAGTGGTAATTTATTAGGAATGTTGTTCTTATTTACATAAATAATTACAGCATTTCTATAAAATAACATCATAAACTCCTGAGACAAACACAGACTAGCTGTTAGCTCTTCAATCCATAAAAACATGAACTCTATTTCCCTGAAAAGAAGCTGTCCAGGAAGCTGTCCACAGGTGAGGTAGGAATCGTGTCAGGAAAGACTCGTGCACACATGTCGGAGCAGGAGAAGAGGCAGAGTCGAGCCCACGCCCAGACACTAAAAACCTGTTTAACCTTCAAACTTGTAAAATTGCTGTGAAAACAAGAAGTGATCTGACGGAAATGGCATAATGATTTGAACTCAGTTGGAATGTTTTATTTTGTGAAGTGCCTCGAGACGACTCTTGTCGTTGTTTGGCGCTTTATAAATGAACTGAACCGAATAGAAAATATCAGCTGATCAATAATTACAAACATTCCAACCAGCCTGCAGCCAACAACAAACCACCTCCCCACGATGTTTCCATCCCACCCAGTCACCACAAACCCAGCGCCAGCCTGATGGAGGAGCGGAGGGAAAACAAATCCCTCGTACGTGTGACAGGTGGTGCTCAGGTGGTTCAGGAGGAACCCGACTCCTCGTTCTGCTGAGTGTAACCGTAGCTGCTGCTCTACCTGTAGACCGGTAACCGGAATTTACAGCTGGCTCATCACTCATCCGGGCTGAAACGCTGCTAGGCAACGTCCTGATAGGTCTGTTTGTTCAGTCAGCATGCACAGATAGATGACCCGTATCCATGGTTACTCTACAACAAGGTGTGTATTCTGAGGGATCAGAGGGGCATCAGCTGATTTTTATTCAGACCAGCAAACTTCTGCAAAGCTGAGCTGCGACGACACAAATGGAGTATCATGATGTTTTAGCCTGAGTGGCTTTCCGCTAAACATCTCCCAAACCACTGAGTGGATTTTAATAAACACTATGAAAAAATAATAATTCAGTTCAAAAATACTTTATTAATCCCAGAGGGAAACTGATGGCTGTAGTAGCTCAGAATAATAATAATAATCAAGTCATCAAAGAGGTGTTGTATATAACAACGGCTGTTGGCAGGAAGGATCTCCAGTAGCGGTCAGTGTTGCAGCCAAACTGAAGAAGCCTCTGACTGAAGACACTCTTCCGTTGTCGGACAGTCTTGTGAAGAGAATGCTCAGGGTTGTCCATCATGTTCTTGATTCTCTGGAGAATCCTTCTTTGCATCGTCTCCTCCAGCGGTTCCACAGTCGTCCCCAGAACAGAACCAGCCTTTGTTATTAGGCTGTTGAGCCTTTTCAGGTCCCTGCTTCTGATGCTACTACCCCAACAGACGACGGCTGAAGAGATTACACTCTCAACAACAGACTTGTAGAAGATCTGC